AACAAGCTAGAGTGAGAGGTTCAGATCTTGTATGATAAAATAAAGGACAGCTGAACTCAAACTGTCAGAAGTCATCCCAAATAAAAAACAACTTCAAGAAGACCTCGGCCACCTCGAGCAAGAGTTTCGTGAGCAAGATGACAAGATAACGTATTTGAAGGAGGAGATCGAGGTTGAGAGACCAGAGAGTGCTGATGCCTTTAAGCGAGCTCAAATGGTTCACCATGATGCTCAGGGGTTGAGGGATCGACTGAAGGAGGAGGAGATCGCTATGGAGAAACTAAGGAAGGAGTTAGAGTGACACCGTGAGTTGTCAAGTGCAGAGAGGTAGGAGATACAACATCGCCTCGACGATTTGGATTTTAAAGATTATCACTATCGGATTGTCAAGGAGTATTGCCAGGGTACCCTTGGGAAGCTAGACGACGAAGAGGCGACCAAAGGGATGTGTAGAGATTTGCCTTGTGATAGTTGGGAGATCGAGACTGAAGAGGGGGAGGACCAAGCGGTCATGTCCAAGTCTCGACCATCTTCTTCGTTCACTTCTGCTATTGCTTCTCCTCCAATCTCAAGTTCTACTATGACTCCTAGTTCTTTTCAAGCTTCGGGCTCGGTCCCAGATCTAGGTTCGTCCCTCGATCCAAGTTCGACTCCTCAGAAACTTTGATGCATCTCCTTTTTTTTATAAATACTTTGTATTGTAAGTGCTTTGAATATATAAATTAAAAAAAGTTCACTTTTGTCAATTTGAGTTGTATACCTTTGTGATTGTATTTTTATATGTTTAAGTATCTACAATCTGCTTTAATAGAGTATAAGTTCTGCTTCTAATCTTAGGGGCATTTCGGGTGCACACCAACGCTTGGAGTATGTCTTGAGAAACTCTTGGGTTGAGACGACTTGACTTCCTACCTTGGGTTTATTCTGAAAGGATTCCAAGGTCTAATGAGTTGGAGTCGACCAAGTTGGAGAAGTGCTTTAGTTTTATTCTGAAAGAATACCAATGTCTAACATGTTGGAGTCGACCAAGTTGGGGACGACTCGACCTCATGTCGTAGGCTTACTCAAAACAACACCAAAATCTTAGGTGGTGCCTTAGGTTTATTCATGAAGATGATACCAAACTCTTTAATGTCAAAGACGAACGAGTTGATGACATGCTGTTTGTGGGAAATTGAAGAAGAAATAAGAATAAAATTCGTATTAATCTCCCTAACTAACTTAGGAAAAGAATGAATACAATCTCTCACTGTAATCTCTCTCTAACTGACTTAGAAAAAGAAATTATTCTGATTTACAAAAGATGGAAGGAATCGACGGAGATCCTTCCCTTTGTTTAAAATTATGTTCTTCTTGGTGTCGATAGGAGCTTGATTCTTGTATCATGTTGACGATCTGAATGCTTGGACTCGTGGAACACAATCTATTCCTCTTGATTTGACGTTGAGGAGAACTTGCGAGGCAAGTTTGGAACTCTTAACGAGTTAAAGAACTATTAACGAATTTAAAACTCTATGGAAGAGTTGACTTGATCTAATCAAAATCGTTTTACAACTAAGGAGAAGAAAGCTCCACGAACAGCTCCCAAGGATGTTCAAAACTCTCCAAGATATGATCCTCTAAACCTTGATAATTCTGATCCTCCAAAATGATCTTCTAGAAGATCTTCCCTCTTTCCAGATTTGCCAGAAGATCCAAACCCCCAGATTGTCGAAGTCTCTCAAAGATTCGATCCAAAGATCCCAAGCCAAGATCCAAACCCCTTTTTGAGCTAATTTCTCAGCTATTTATAGGGGTTTAAGGGGTGTAACCGTCCCCTTAAATTGCTCCTTAATGGGAGCTTATGGGGTGTAACCGCCCCCATAAATCTCTTCATAATGGGGGCTTAATGGCCTCATTTCGTGAAAAATAGTTTTAAAACCGTTCAGGTCATGTTTGAACCAGTCAAACGCCAGATTCGCGTTCTGAAATGAGCTCCGCATCTTGAACCTGGAACGCGGTGGTGAGTTCCATGTATCGAGCTGAAAACACGGTAGTGAGCTCCGCGTCTTGATCTTGGAACGTGGTGATGAGCTACGCATCTTGATCTTAAAACGTGGGAATGACCTCCGTGTTTTGTTATTGAAACACAGGAATGACCTCTGCGTTTTGTTGTTGGGACACGAGTATGACCTCCGTGTTTGGAATTAAAAACGCAAAGGTGGACCTTCGCGTCGCGTTTGGCCTTGAAGAGATCGTCAATTGTAATATCTTTTCGCAAGTTCTGCAAGGATCGTCAGTTTGTAATCCTTATGAAGATTCTGGATCCCACCATCTTTCTTCTCTATTTTTACACTAATGAGGATCAGCTATCTACAGTAATTTTTAGACAGCCTACACATGCCTTGGTTTTATCCCGAAAGGGTACTAAGGTCTTACATTGGAGCTGACCAAGTTGGGGATGACTCGACCTCGTGCCTTGGACTTGCTCTAAATGACACCAAGGTATTGGGTTCGTGTCTTAGGTTTTATTCATGCATATGATACCAAGATCTTTAAGTTGAAGATGATCGAGTTGATGACGTGTCTTGATTTTATCCTGAAAGGGTACCAAGGCCTTATGTTGGAGCTGATCAAGTTGGGGACGACTTGACCTTATGCCTTGAGCTTACTTGAAACGACACCAAGATCTTGGGTATATGCATTGGGTTTATTCATGAAGATGATACCAAGGTCTTTGTAGTACAACAAAACATGATATACTAGGATATTAAAAATGCTAGTTTTGTCGTGACATTCATTAAGATGACATCTGTAATTTGTTCCTCTTGAGTTTATCGCTTAGATCGGTCCCCAAAAGGAGGAGCAGCAAATGTCGGAGGAGAGTGAGGGGAATCCGACTAAAAAGCTCGTTCATGAAAGAAGTGAACTGTTGTTGAAGAGAATTAGAAACTCTTCATGTGGATTCATCTAATTAGCCCCGTGTGATAGCCCGTATCAGGTATATCTTTAGTACAAGGAACCTGGGATCGATAATCTAAATCAGCTATCTTGCACAAAGAAGAAGAAGAGGCCCCACAGTGGGTGCCAAATTGTTAATGTCAGATGCTTAACAATAGGATTTAAGGATGATTTTAAAGAGCTTAGGGTTCCTTGATTTCCTTTGATATCTGATCCTCTGATAGAAAGAGAGTCTTGCATTAGAGGACCGGAGTTGGGTTTTTTAGTGCTTTCTCTGACAATCAAGTTAGTTATGATCTAAAGAGGAGCAAGGAATAGATATAGTTCTCTAAGTATGTACTATGTAGAAATTGTGTACCTTTGGTTAGTAGGCGATGTGCCTATTTATAATGAAATGATAGGGGGGTATTCGGGTAATTTTTGGCAGAGTACATGTAGTCAGTTTATTACTCTTACTGATGTCACTATTAGAGAGTCCGAGTCACATTGTGATTAATGCGGTTTGATGAGTCATTAAGGCTTCAGCGATGGAAATGACTCTGATAGTGTATTTAATGTGATAATAACCGGGTACCGTTTAATAGGTGCGAAAATGTTACAGAAGGCCCTAGACAGAATAGGTGTTTGAGCCAGCACCTAGCGTCTACGCGACGCCTAAGTGTTTGGTTATTTTTTAAATTATTTAATTATAATAATTAATAAAAATATGTATTAAATTCATATAAATTTGACAAAAAAATAGTCAATCTTAGAACCACAATAAATCAATCATAGATCCATAATAAACCATGCATACTTAAATACTAAATAACCAAAATAATAACTAATAAGATTATAAAAAGCACTAGGAGGCCTAGGCATTGGACCCAACACCAAAAGCCTAGGAGTTTTTTTTTTAATTTTTTAATTACAATAATTGATAGTAAATGCCAATGTTATAGAAAGCTTAGGTGGCAATTTAGTATCTAGGAGGATTTCTTTCTTCATTTAGGTTGTGATCGAGTAGGTTTTGCTGAAGGTCAAAAGAGGTAGTGAAGATGTTCATATTTAGAGGTTAAAGGAGTTTGAAGGAGGTTAGAGGACATGTAGGCTACAACACAGAAAATTATGATCAAGGCCAAAAGTGTGCAGTCCACGTAAATAGACAATGCTCCCCTAAACACCCTTAAAACCTAAGTGTGCATCCTAGGTACTGCTCAGGCGCTAGGCGCTAACTAGGCGACCTGGGTACTACCTAGACCGAAGCGTACGCCTAGGGAGACTAGGTGGATGCTTTTTTAAAACGGTGAGGTACGTGGAACATTGACTTTCTTCTTGACCTTTGAGAGAGACGAAAAAGACCGTCTCTTGTCTCGGGCTTTGAGGGAGACGAGAACTGATGCATTTCGTCCCAATCTTTGAGGAAGATGAGAAGTCATTGTGTGTGGGTGGAGTTGGTGTGTAGTCTACTTGCGACACGTGTCGGCTTTTGGAATGGGATTAACACTTGCTTAGTTCTATGGCACAACAAAATATCAAATAAATTTCTTAAATGACAGTCCATCAATATGTTTGACGTATCTGAAAAGCTAAAATTAGACACTAGGTCTTGAAAATTAACCTCATCTAATACTATTATAAAAATGTATTGGATGTTAAAATATTTTATTTAAAAAATGCCCTCCAAAACATATGCATATGTAAAACATATGTATGCATACGTAAAACACATATAAGTTGTATCCGTTCAAATCGAACACACACATACGTAGATACTCAGCTTTCATAAATACTTATTTTTCGTAACCTCCCACTAATTGCCACCAATTTTCATTTAACCACCCACTCGTAACATCCACCCATTAACTCTGACTAATACCTCATTAATTATCTAGTAATCCATCTTCCCAATGTCCATCACCTTCATTCTCTTTTAACTCTCTCTTATAAAAATTGTCATGTATATCTTTTGGGTATGAAGATGATTAAGAAGGATAGGGAGCTTTCTGTTATACTTTAATTTATGATGTTTTTCCCTTTTGATGGTAATGAAAACTAACTTGTTTTATTTGAATTTATAGGTGCTCGAATCCCCTCCTCATACTTCAATTCCCTGTTTGTATTTCTACAAATCTTTATTGTTTTGTTTAATTTTTGTCAAATATAAATGTTTATTGTTGATAATTAATATTGTGTGATTTTTCTTTTTTACTGGTTTCTATATTAAGTCTCTCTTGAAAGTTTGAAGAGTATATTTCTTTATGATCAATGTTTTTATTTTCTAGAAAATAAATGTATAAAATGAAGAATGGAGATGATGGTTAAAAAACACAAAATACTTCCAAAAATTATAGATTTACAAAAAGAAACCCTGGAACTCACAAAATTTGCATATTTATACAAAAATATATAAACATATTTTACAATAAGTATTTTATTTACCCTTCAAATCCTATATTATATTGCAAATTTGCATATGAGATACCAGCTATAAAATTTCTCAAAGTCATACATCATCTTAAATTATAAACTAAACGAGGTATATCTTTAGGCTTTTAAGATGTTTTACCAGATAGATATACCTTCTAGATATTGTAAAAATTATAAACTTTAGGGGGTGTTTGGTTCAATTTCTAGAAATTATAGGAAATATTTTCCACCTAAAATATGATTTCCTTGTATTTCTTAAAAAAATTATAGGAAAAGTTTTGAGAAATCAAAAAGTACCAATTTTTTTGTTTTTTGTACTTTGCTTGTTTGGTTCAAAACAAGAAAATAGCTCATAACTTTATAGAAAATAACAAGATTTGGTAGGTTTTTAATTAAATATGGTATGTGTCAGATTTCTCTGGTGATTTTCTATCATTTTGAGAGGAAATTGCTTTTTGTAAAATTTGGTAGGTTTTGATATTTTATAGAAAATATTTTTGTAAATTTTTTGTTGAACTAAACACAATTTACAAAAATCTCTGGAAAACTTTTAATTACAAATTTTCTATTGTCTGATGTTTTGAGAAAAGTTTTCTCAAAAAGTGTCAAGTTTTATAGAAAAAATCATAAATTTGTAAAATTTAAAAGGAAACCCTAAAATTTGAAGAAAAAAAACCCTTAATTTTCATAGTTTTACATACTAAATCTGAAAATTTTGCATGAAGAACCTTAAAAAGTCATAAACCTACAAATAGAGCACTAGAACTTTATAAATTTAGAGATTAATGTCGATAACCTTCAAAATGAACCTCCTTGAAATGTATATTTTAATGATGAAAAAATCACAAATAAGTCATTAAGGTTTTAATCCCAAAATCAAACTTTACAATAATCTATAACAAATTACATAAAAAAAAATTAAAAAAGAAAATAAGTTCGTCCACAAGCAAAACACTTCCGCTATATTAGTACACCTATAAATAACAGTCACTTTTAGTAGTATGATCTGTACATATATTCAAATTTTCCACACCCGTGTCGTGTATGGATATAAATACGCCTGCGGATATCCCTTTCCATTCTGCATCCCAAGCCGGAGCCGTTGGAGGCGCCGACATATTAACTCAAATGTCGGATCCACATAGAATTTAAGTCTTATCTAGATGGTCCACATAGAATTTAAGTCTTCACGCGGGATTTAGTTGGACCCGCTTTAGTCTGCAGCTAGCCAAGCAGCCGGGCTCAGAAAATTTCTGGTGGCTGAACGCCGTCGTTTATATCTCTCATATTAACAAGCTCCGTTTGGATCACATTACTTTGTCCATTATTTATAAAAATTTCATAGTAACCGAGAGATCTTTTGCTCCTCTTCAGATCAAAATCAAAGAGAAAAGAAATGAAGAGCGCTGCCAAAAAGCAAGGAGAGGTGTATATTGACGTACTCCTTGAGCTGGCTGGTTCGTTATATTTTTCCGGTTTTTTTATTCATGATTTATAGTTTGCGTATTTGATTGTAGCATTCTTGGCCGAAGAGCGTGTTCAAGAAATGGCTCAACATTAATAATGACGAGTCTGATTATAGTGCTGATGAGAGCGACAATGAGAGCGATGTTGATGAAGAAGAAGGTTAGTCATAAAAGAGCTTGTATGCATATTTTCTTTCGTAATTTTTTTTCTTTTTTTCTTTTTGAACTTGTTGTCTTTAGATTTGGAGAGCGAGTTGCGTGATGAGGAAAGGAGAGGGATCAGAGATCAGGCTGGGACAAGTGGGGTGTGTGTGTATAAGTGTATGCATTTGAATTTTTTTTTTCTAATCTTTTAATTATTCGAATATATTTGTGTGAATGGATTATTTGATTAATTAAGCCTCATTTCGCAAGATTGTTGGGGACTGAATTTGTTCCAAAATTCTTGGAAAAATCTTTACGTATTTGAACCTGCATGCATGATTAATATATGTTTTATATACCTATAACCAAATTCATCAAATCTATAAATAAATAAATAAATAAATATGCGCAACTATACGAGTAAGTCTGTTATAAGATTAAGCAATATGGAATATAACAAGTCATGGTGTACTTATTTAAAGAAGAAGATGCGTTAACGAACTTTATCGCAACTGTTCATGACATAAAAGCTTTTACATGTACAGGTAACCAGATAGAGAACAACCCATGTAAACTACGACGAAGAAACTCAGAGACTCTTCGTGCACAGTACATAAACACCAAAGAACTCAGGTGTGTCAGAATTTATAAAATACCAAAAAAATATATGTAATTTTGCCTTGTCTAATAGTTGCGATAATTTTTCATTCAATGAGAAAATAGTGTATATTTGTGCTGAGGTTTATAGTTCCCTGCAGGGTTTTTGTGGGGACTTGGAATGTCGGAGGAAAACTTCCTTCTGATGACCTTGATATTGAGGAATGGCTTGACATGGAGGAGCCTGCTGATATCTATGTTCTTGGGTAAATCTTTATTTATTTATTTTTTTGGCATGCATCGGTTTATTGTGCTCATCGTTCGGAGTCCTATATAGTTTTTCATAATAGTAAACCTTGGCTTGTTAATTCTTACACTGCATACTAATACTCCCAGACTCATATCAACGTAGATAAGAATGAGATGATGCATTTAGTTTCTTGTTCCTCTTATTCACTGAAATGGAGAGTAGATAAACTCGATTTTCATAAGCCAAGAACAAAAGTCTTTTTAACTTTTTTGCGTATGAGACTTTCTTTGTATCCCACTCGATTTTCATAAGCCAAGAACAAAAGTCTTTTTAACTTTTTTGCGTATGAGACTTTCTTTGTATCCCACTTAAATGATTTAATTGCATTTGACGTGTCTTTTTAACTTTTTTGCGTATGAGACTTTCTTTGTATCCCACTTAAATGATTTAATTGCATTTGACGTACATAGAGAAAACATGTATCATATGTATAAACCTACACTGACAAATTCTTCTATCTTGTGTCATATGGTTTAATTATGCACCGAATGCTACATAGTTAACTAAAAATGAAATGCACCATACTTACATCGATGCTTGCCCCCATATGAGTGCGAATGCTGCTCTATCAGCTATGATGGTATTTTTACCCCCCCCCCCCCCCCCAACCCACCCACCAACACCAAAAAAAAATGTAATGACTATATTGCTTCGTCAGAGTTGCCTTATTTGTGTTCAGTCGCTCCATAACTAAACAAATAATAATAATAATAATAAAATCCAAAAATGGTCATTAAAAACCTTAATCTTGAGAAAATTGTGCTATCTTTACAGGTTCATGTTTACTTTTTTTTAATGAGTTTTGACTTAACATTCCTCATAACTTTTCATTAGTTTAACATACTTGTTTATGTTCTTGCAGCCTTCAGGAGATTGTTCCTCTAAACGCAGGAAACATTTTTGGCGCTGAAGACAACCGTCCGGTTCCCAGTTGGGAATCTCTCATTCGAGACTCACTAAACAAACTTCGACCACAAAAACCCAAATACAAAAGCTACAGCGATCCTCCATCTCCATCGAGATTCAAGGCATCAGAACACGCCGGTGCCACTGTAGAAGAATTATTACCAGAATCCGACACTGACACCGAGGAAGAAGAACAAGAAATCCATCCATTAAATGAAGAAGAATCATTGACTTTTACTCCTGCTAGAAAATTAGAACGCTTGCGTCATTTCACTTCAGTATACTACGAACCAAATCCAGAAATGGGTACAACTTTACAGAAGAAGTTAACAAAAACACTTAGTAGTTCCGAAAGGATTGGATTGGTTTGGCCTGAACAGTCGTTGGATTTGCTGGCGAAATGTGGGGTTGATCAGACCAAAGATTTGAAGTCAGTGAAGTCTTTTAGAGCTTGTAAGTCATTTAAACAAGATGTATCGATGATTGGATCGTTATCGGAGTGTAATTGGGAGGATTTGGTGAATAAGAAGAGAAGATCGTCATTTATGAGGATTGTGAGTAAACAGATGGTTGGGATTTTTCTTTCGGTATGGGTGAGGCGAAATTTGCACAAATATATTCAGAATTTGAAGGTTTCAACTGTTGGGGTTGGTATTATGGGATATATTGGAAACAAGGTCAATACTTGCAACTTCTTATTTATAGGGGTTAATTGCAGATGTAGTTCTATTATTGTAGATAGACCCCCAAAGTGAATTTTTTAACCTTTTACCTCATGAGTGATATTTGTTTAAAAAAACAATTTCCCTTTCTCTAAGGATAGAAGAGTCAAAAAAAGGTTCACTCAGGGGATCTATCTGCAGTTGGAGGATAGTACAGGGCATCTATCCATAATTAACCCTTTTATTAATGCATGAGGAAAATGGCCCTATTTAGAGTAAACAATAGTGATCATCCTTCCTTTTTTGTCTCAGGGATCAGTTTCAGTCAGTATGTCAATATATCAGACGCCCTTCTGTTTTATATGTACTCACCTATCTTCAGGCGAGAAACATGGCGATGAGATTAGAAGAAATGCTGATGTCCAAGAAATTCATCGTAGAACTCGATTTAGTACAACTGGCATGGGATTGCCTCAAACAATCCTTGATCACGAGTATGTAGACTAATTCAATAAGCACAGTGTTTTGTTTATTTATCAGCTATTTGATATATAAATTTTTACTTAGAATTCTAAGTTAATTTATTCAATTAAATGCATTTTAAATTCTTACAGAAGGATATTTTGGTTTGGAGATCTTAATTATCGGATAAACTTACCTTATGAGAGAACACATGAACTCATATCCAGGAAGAAATGGTCTGAATTAGTTGAGAGTGATCAGGTATGAACATAACGAAGCATACTGCAATTCTTTAAGAAATTACTACTACTTTTTGAGATGCCATGATTTTTTTAAAAAAAAAAACCATCATTTGACGCGTTAAAGTAATTTTCACTTTATTCATCAATTCTCAATCTTTGATGCATCACATTACTTCTGGCTTTTGCAGTTAAAACGGGAGCTAAAGAAAGGACGAGCTTTTGATGGGTGGTGTGAAGGAATTATAAAATTTCCGCCAACTTATAAATATGAGTTTAATTCGGAGAAATATATCAAAGATGACCTAAAGGGTGGGAGGAGAACTCCTGCATGGTATAAACATAATATTCCCACTGCATTATGCCTTTTCAAACATTATGCACACAAAATATCCCATGATGTGACTATATGTATTTGTTTCAGGTGTGACAGAATACTTACATTTGGGACTGGTATGAAGCTCTTGAGCTACAAAAGAAGTGAGTTGAAACTCTCAGATCATCGCCCTGTGACTGCCACATTCATGACTGAAGTTGAGGTGTTCTCCCATAGAAAGCTTCAAAAGGCTCTAACTTTGACGGATGCAGAGGTAGAAGATGGAGATATTATATCAGATATCAACATTGCTTCTGGAATGGGCCGTCTAGGACTAGGAGAAGTATGTTTCCTCTTTAGGGTTCAGCCATATCTTTATATTGAGACAATAAGAAATCTCATATACAGATACCTATCTGTTCTTTTCCTGCAGGAATTTTCAGAATGGGGTCAGTAGACTGAACAGCGAGCAAACAAACAATTTAAACTCTGATATGGATTTATCACTAGTCTTCTGTGATCAATTTCTTTCTTCATAAGAGATGCCAAGAAGACAGGAAATTGTTCAGTTTCCTGGTACGCACGCACCCTGTAAAAAATGAATAAACAGAGTAGAATAGGTTGCTTGTAATTGCTCCCAAATTTATTTCTTTATCCAAAGAGATATGTATATCGAGAATGCGGAACAATTTCTCCAATGAGTCTTATGCTTAAGATAGATGCACCTTTATGTGTAAATATGATGTATATATACTCTTGTTAATGCTGGTTCGTCTCAAATCCATGAGAATATGCTTTTTCAAATTTAGAATTAGCAATGTAAACAAAGATCGTCATTGAGAGCCATAGCAATCAATTTCCCTAGATAACTTATAGTTTTTATTTTCCTTGTCGAACAGAAACAGATAATGTATCTTAGGCAGAAGATCTGCGTTTTACACAGTATTCATGCAAGCTCCACACAAGTTTGGTGAAGATCAATATGTTCTCCTTAATGTTATACAATGCACTCTTCTCCCTTGTGTGGATGTACAACATTATCCCTGAGGATCTTCAGAACTTCATCAACTCCGGCCTTCAAAACGTGCACAAAAATCAAGGTCAGTGAATTGCAGTGAAACATATGGAATTAACAAGACTGCACTTCTTGATCATTTTATCAGATAAGTAATCCACTGATAATTTTCACAGATACCACTAATTTGAAAATGATAACCTAACATAATGGAACTGGAAATTCCAGTAGGAGTGACCACTCGTGATATGTTAGTGAAAAATGACACGTCTGCTTCGTGCCTCTCATTCTATAGCCAGACAACTATATGGAATATAAAAGTACCTCTGAAGAAATTCTCTCAGAGACTCGAGATGCTTGATCTTTCATTTCAGGGGACAAAGCGTGCTTAATAGCTGCTGATAGAGCATCTCCAGCTTGCTTAATGCTTCTAGCATCTTCACTATCTGGAACCAGTTGTGCTTTTCTTAGTGGTTCTGGTGCAACTCCGAGCCAGTAAAGTCTCTCAGCCCAGTAAAACTGATCTAGAATAAAAGGACATATAATCTGGCAAAACCCAAATAAATTGGTAAGTCCAAATTATCAAAAACCTGCATTACAGGTTAGATCATATTCACGCACAAGAAGTTTGTAAGTTAATGAAATCATGCATGCTGCATTATCTAACACGTGTAATAATCAATATTTTTTTTATGCAAGGTCTTATATAGGAGGCCCCACATGATTTGAAATTGAAAAAAAAAACAAATTTCTTTAAGGCCCATTAGTGTTGAGTTAACCTAGCAAGCCCAAATATACAACTCCACCTTCTGCAGTGGGTTGTTGTGATATTTGCGAGATTGGTGAGAACGTGAGAATTTTTTTTCCCCGGAAATATTGCCAACAAACCTTCATGACTTTAACTCCCAAAATCAAAACATGGGATCCTCTGTAGTTTTCTTGTTGCAACTATCCGTTTACCACTAATTAAAATTTCTTAGTCTTCGGGATTCTTTAATCAAAACTTTCCTTTAAAAACCAATCTTCTCTCATCCCCCATCTTGGTCCCAAAACTACAGAGAAAAAAACGAAAAAAAATCCCTACAGAGAACAAGAGAAGGAGAGGGACGGGATTTGGATTTTTCTCTTGGATTTGGGGTTCATAGTCTTTTTTTTCAACAAATCAGCAAGCATCTCTTTCCTCAATTATTTTCTAAAAAAATTATTAGCTTATGCTTCATGCAACACCAATTTTCTTTTCCATTCTAGTTCAAAGAAATAAATAGTAGGATTCATGTTTAAAATTATTAGAGATTTCGTAGTTGTTGTATCTTATGTGGAAATAAATAATAGGATTTATAATCCTACGATCTATTTTTTCTATCTTATTTATTTATTATATATTTTTTCCTCCATGATCTTAACATTATTGTTGCTATTAGTACTATTATTTTCACATAAAATTTCGTACAAATCAGAAGCTAAAATTTCGGTTTATATAATACGTAAATCTATCATTCACTTATTAGAAAATATTTATTGAGGAATTTAACAGAAACCGAAATTTAACTATTACTTGCATCACCATTGACATGAAAGATTGATGGTTGTAGTGGTTAGTTGTATTTGACAATGACACAAAGGTCTGGAGTTCGAATCCCAGAGCCTTTCTTTTTCACATATATATGTATTTTGGGTCGGTTTGAACTCGAACCCGACCCCATTCAGATCCACTACTAAACCAGATCCGCTTGGGTCTAAATTACACCAATACCCTATCCATTTGGGTCTATAACTCCTCGAATCCGACCCAGTTCAGACCCATTATCAAATTCCAGACCCGTTTGGGTCCATAACCCCAAATTACAGACCCGTTTGACCCAATTAGGATACCATATCAAATTTCTGACCCGTTTGGATTTATGATTCAAAATACAAACCCGTTTAACCCAGTTAGGTTCCAATACCAGATTTCACACCCGTTTAGGTCTTTTGCTCACTAAAATCAGTTTTTGCAGATTTCTATGCAGTCAAATTAAAACTGTTTGGCCTGCTTTGACACTAAATAATTATGCTATTTGGTTATTTTCCGTTTATTAAGATGAATGATGATATTGTTTGATCTCTTGATGCTTATTGGATCAACTGATGCTATGTTTGATCACCTAGTAACATTTAATAGGGTTGATTGTGCATGAAGATGACTTGTCGTAGAACTTTATAAATTTTAGAGATTTCTTTACCTATCTATTTTTCTGTTGTCTTAGTTACATGTTCTATGGTGTAGTTTTGGCTTTATATCTATATACAGAATGATCTAGAGGTGTGAATATGACCGAAGGGTTGCATTGTCGGCCGAGTCACGTTCCAAGTTATTATATTTTGGAACCGGGCGTGACAAGGTTTTTATTGGTATCAGAGCCAGGTTTAGTAATTATTGTCTCGTCCTGTATATAAGTAAAAACTAAGATTAGACCAAAAATAGAGCATATATAGAATGAGTTTTTTCTTTTATAGAAATACGTCATCTGACTCCCAATACCTTGATTCTCAAGTTCTAATTTTAATCATTCTCATTTCAGATGATCACTATGGCCCCAAAACGTCGACCCCCTACTCCAGTTGTCCCTGAGGGACACCAAGTCGATCAGGTTGATCTTGCAGAAGCGATTAGGGAGCTGATAGCTCATAATCGTCAGAGGGTGGGCAGCAGCAGGTTGCAAGGCCGGGTAATGTGCTTGATTTTCGGAAGCTCAACCCGCAACAGTTTGTTAGGACTGAAGGTGGATATGAGGCTGAGATGTGGTTGTAGACCACGGACCGCCTATTGAGGGCAACAAAGATACCAGATGAAGACCGAGTGGATATTGTACAGATGCAGCTCGTTAATGTAGCCAAGACCTGATGGGACGCAGAGGAGGGGAAGCTGCCTAAGCTAATTTCGTGGGAGACATTCCGGGAGAGTTTCCTAGAGGCATTTTCCCGAAGACAGCTCGTCTTGAGATGCATAGACAGTTTATAATGCTGAGACAGGAAGTTAGTACTATAGATGAGTATGCAGTAGAATTTGTCAAGCTCAGCATGTTTGCCCTGGGGATGGTGTCGAATGAGGTGGATAAAGGACAAAGGTTCATGCAAGGTCTAAATTTTGAGATCCAGACGCAGATTTACAGTTAGAAGGGGTCAACAATTTCAAGGCCAGAGACAATGGAGAGGCCCTCATTTCTAGCACTCATACCAGCCGCAGTATCAGCAGAGGCGCCCAGGACAATACGGTCAGCAAGCTCAGCAGCCGCAGAGACAAAGTCAGGTTCTGACACTTACCACTGAGCAGGCAGACGCATCTGGTGATGTAGTCATAAGTACCATTTTGATGTATTCGATCCCTGTATTTACCCTATTTGATTCTGGGGCATCGCAATGTTTTATATTTGCTCAGTTCATTGCACAACACACCATACCATGTGATAGTTTAGATGCTATCTGGAATATCTATACAGGTAGTGGGATGTTAATATCTAGTAGGGAGTGTAAGAAATGCCCAGTAGTAGTTTGTGGTAGGGAACTATTTGCAGACTTGTTGGTGATTGACACTAACAGATTCAATGTTATTTTGGGGATGAATTGGCTCTACAACTTTCATGCGACGATCAACTGCCGACGCAAGAGCGTAAAGTTCAAGATACCAGGTCACCCAGAGTTTGAATTCATAAGCGGTAACAAAGTGATGGAGCAGCTAGAGTATTGAACAGGCATGGATGGAGTATTAACCTGGATAGAGGTAAAGGAGAAGCCCATAACAGAAATTGTCGAGGAGTTCTTTGATGTCTTTCCTGATGAGTTGTCGGGTTTGCCACCATACAGAGATATAGAGTTCATCATCGATCTTATTCCAGGGGTTGCACCTATCTCAAAACCATCTTACTGGATGCCGATAGCGGATTTAGAGGAGTTGCGAAAGCAAGTCCAGGAGTATCTCGATAAAAAATTTATCAAGCTTAGTACTTCACCTTGGGGAGCACCAGTGGTGTTAGTGCCAAAGCCGGATGGTAGTCGAAGGATGTGTATAAACTATAGGGAGTTGAATCGGGTTACTATAAAAAATAAATACCCAATTTTCAGGATTGATGATCTTTTCGATCAGCTCGGAAAAGCTACGGTGTTTTCAAAGTTGGACCTTAGATCAGGCTATCATCAGCTGAAGGTGAAGAAGGAAGACATACACAAGACCGCATTCCGCACACATTACGGGCATTATGAGTTTTTGGTGATGCCATTCGGGATAATAAATGCTCCATCTACATTTATGAGCTTGATGAACAAGGTGTTTTTCAGTATCTCGACCAGTTTATGGTGTTCATCGATGACATTCTTGTATACTCCAAAACCAAGAAAGATCATGCAGAGCATCTACGGGCGGTGTTGGAAATTCTGCGAAAGGAGAAGCTCTATGGAAAATTGAACAAGTATGAGTTTGGTTGGAGCAAGTGTCCTTCTTGGGACATGTAATTTCAAGAGCAAGTATCTCTGTGGACCCAAAGAAGGTTGATGCGGTGTTAAGGTTGGATCCGCCTACATCTATGACAGAAATACGAAGTTTTTTAGGGATGGCTGGATACTACAAGAAATTTATAAAGAATTTCGCTAAGATTGCAGGACCACTTACTAGGCTGACTCGAAAGGAGGTGAAGTTTGTGTGGACTCAGGACTGTCAAGCAGCATTTGAGGAGTTGAAGAAGTTGACGACAACACCAGTTTTGATAATCCCGGATGAGTCAGAAGAATTTGTAGTGCACACGGAGGCTTCTGGTTTGAGTTTAGGTTGTGTTCTGATGCAACATGGGAAGATAGTAGCTTATGCATCTAGACAACTGAAGGCACATGAGAGGAATTACATGGTTCATGGTCTGGAATTGGCGGCGGATATTTTTGCATTGAAACTATGACGGCACTATCTTTTAGGGCAGAGAATAGAGGTGTACACAGATCATAAAAGTTTAAAGTATATCTTCACTCAGAAGGAGCTCAACATGAGGCAACGAAGGTAGTTAGAGCTTATGGCGGATTATGATCTTGATTTACAATATCACCCAGGACGAATTAGTGTGGTGCCAGATCATTTGAGCAGGAAGCCTGTGGCGATGAGACTCACCAGACAACAGGAGTTGCTAGCTGAGTTCTAGAGGATGAACATAGAGATTATATTGCCTGGGAGACAGTTGATGAGTTTGAATTTACAATCAACTTTGGTGGGCCGGATCAAGGCTACCCAATTCGAGGATGCTCAGTACTTAAAAATTAAGAAACAAGTGGAGTCTAGGAAGAGAACTGATCTATAAATACATGAGGATTGATCATTGCGATTCTGTGGTAGGTTGTGTGTGCTTAAGGGCGATGTTAGAAGAGAGCTGCTGGAGGAGGCGCATAGTTCAGTGCTTTCTATTTATTCATGAGGCACGAAGATGTATCGGGACTTGAGAGAGCATTACTGGTGGCCAGGATTGAAGATGGAGATAGCCCGATTTGCGTCAAAATGCCTAATATCTCAGCAGGTGAAAGCTGAGCATCAGAGGACGGTTGGGTTATTGCAGCCCCTTCCTATTCACGAGTGGAAGTGGGAACATGTTACGATGGACTTTGTCACAGCTCCGCCGAGGAGCCAGAAGGGAAACAACGTATAGATAGTAGTAGACTGACTCACCAAATCAGCTCGCTTCATACCATTTCGAGTTGGACAGACGACTAAGAGTTTAGTGGAGTTGTACATGAGGGAGATAATACGCTTGCATGGGGTACCGGTTAGCATTGTTTCTAATAGAGACATAATTTTTATCACACTTTTGGAGGAGCTTGCAGCAGTGTCTTGGAACTAGACTGAGTTACAGCACGGCTTACCACCCTCAGATAGATGGACAATCAGAAAGGACTATACAAATTCTGAAGGACATATTGCGGGCATGCATGCTAAATTTCAAGGGATCTTGGGAAGACCACTTACACTTGGTGGAGCTTTCTTATAATAACAGCTATCAGGCCAACATCCAGATGGCACCTTATGAGGCATTATATAGGAGAAAATGTAGATCTACCTGTTGGGATGACTTGGGAGAGCAGCGTTTTCTAGGTCCCTATATGATAGTACAGACAATAGATAATATAAAGACAATACAAGAGTGTCTTAGATCAGCTCAGGATAAGCAAAAGAGCTGGGCTGATGCTAATAGGAGACCTCTACAATTTCAGGTTGGAGAGCATGTTTTCTTGAGGATATCCCCAACTAGATGCGTTATTAGATTTGGTAGTCGCGGGAAGCTTAGTACACATTTCATCGATCCTTTTGAGATATTGGAGAGAGTAAGAGAGGTAGCATACCGACTAGCTTTGCCTCCATCGTTGGAGGGAATACATGATGTGTTCCACGTATCACAGCTTCGACGATATGTGCGAGATGAAGCACACGTCCTAGATATTGCAGAGCTTCAGATCGGGACAAACTTATCATATGAAGAGCGACCAATGAAGATTTTAGACAAACATGAGAAGGTCCTCAAGAACAGAATTATCCCGCTTGTCTTAGTATCTTAGGGATATCATGGACCTGGTGAGGCAACCTGGGAGCGAGAGGATGACATTCGTCAATGCTACCCACATCTCTTTGCTACAGATGACATTTAGTTCTTCTTATGGTCGGATAAATTTCGAGGAAGAAATTTCTTTTCTTAGGTGGGTAGGATGTAATAATCAATATTGTTTTATGCAAGGTCTTATATAGGAGGTCAATATGATTTGGATTTGAAAAAAAAACAAATTTCTTTAAAGCCCATTAGTGTTAAATTAACCTAGCAAGCCCAAATATACAACTCCACCATCTGCAGTGGATTGTTGCAATATTTGCGAGATTAGTGAGATCGTGAGAATTTTTTCCCAACCTCCGTGACTTTAACTCCCAAAATCAAAATGTGGGACCCTCTGTAGTTTTCTTGTTGCAACTATCCATTTACCACTAATTAAAATTCCTTAGTATTAGAGATTCTTTAATCAAAACTTTCCTTTAAAAATCAATCTTCTCTCCTCCCCTATCTTAGTCCAAAACTGCAGAGAGAAAAAATTGAAAAAAACCCAACAGAGAACAAGAGAAGGAGAGGGACGAGATTTGGATTTTTCTCTTGGATTTGGGGTTCAGTCTTTTTTGACAAATCGGCAAGCATCTTTTTCTTCAATTATTTTCTAAAAAAAATTATTGGCTTATGCTTCATGCAACACCAATTTTCTTTTCCATTCTAGTTCATAGAATTAAATAGTAGGATCCATGTTTAAAATTATTAGAGATTTTATAGTTGTTTTATCTTATTCGTGGAAATAAATAATAGGATTTATAATCCTACGATTTATTTTTTTCTATCTTATTTATTTATTATATACTTTTTCCTCCATGATCTTAACATCATTGTTGGTATTAGTACTATTATTTTCACATAAAATTCCGTACAAATCAGAAGCTAAAATTTTGGTTTATATAATATATAAATCTATCATTCACTTATTTAGAAAAAAATTATTGAGGAATTTAACAAAATCCAAAATTTAACTATTACCTGCATCACCTTTGACAAGAAAGATTGATGGTTATAGTGGTTAGTTGTATTTGACAATGACACAAAGGTCTGGAGTTCAAATCCTAGAGCCTTGCTTTTTCATATATATGTATTTTGGGTCGGTTTGAACTCGAACCCGACCCAGTTCAGATCCACTATTAAACTAGACCCGCTTGGGTCTAAATTACACCAATCTTCGACCTATTTGGGTATATAACTCCTTGAACCCGACCCAGTTCAGACCTATTATCAAATTCCAGACCCGTTTGGGTCCATAACCCTAAATTGCAGACCCGTTTGACCCAATTAGGATCCCATATCAGATTTCTAGCCCGTTTGGATTTATGATTCAAAATACAATCCCGTTTAACCCAGTTAGGTTCAAATACCAAATTTCAGACCCATTTGGGTCTTTTGCTCACTAAAATCAGTTTTTACAGATTTCTATGTAGTCAAACTAAAACTGTTTGGCCTGCTTTGACACTAAACAATTATGCTATTTAGTTATTTTCCGTTTATTAAGATGAATGATGATATTGTTTGATCTCTTGATGCTTATTGGATCACGTGATGCTATGTTTGATCACCTAGTAGTATTTAATAGGGTTGATTGTGCATGAAGACGACTTCCGTCAAGAAATATGATTTATAAACGTGTTATCATAGCATGACTATACCCTCGATATCGATATCCCGATGTGAAGAATTTCTCTTGATTTTTATTATTATTATAATAGCATTGACTAGACGATGCACCCATCTTGATTAGACATGTTTTGGATCACGGTTATTTTTCATAAATTTTACGTAGGTTGTTCCACAGTAACTCTATGGTTAGTGAACAATATTTCATACACAATCACTTAAAATAAATGAATAAATGTGGCGTTTATAATGGGGAATTGGACGGAGAATATAACTTGTATATAAGCGGGATCATGCGCATTCTTGATATCCATATATATATATATATATCATCCTGACTTGAAGCCGTGTTCCCGGGACGGTTTACGGGAACCCAACTTATATATACATGAAAATATTCTTCTCTAATTCAAATAACACCTAAAATAACAATAACAATTTGTTTGTGTGCCATGTGGTAGACCTTGTTTAATATCTACAATTTTTTTTTCTTTATCACCTTTAATTGAGTTTTTCATCTTTTCATTATACCTGCTACTTACACTCACACGCGCACAATTCCTTCATTTTACATGTTTGTTGGGAGTTTTCTGACTCCCCTAGGGTTTGCGTACCCCAGACTCGAGGACCATTCTTTCTTCGCAGGACCGAGAGTACTTTGAGAATCAAGCCGAGCGACAGAGATCACCTTCTATCCTATCACTCTCTCAGCTTCAGTTTATTTGGGTAGATATTTGCTTTAAACCTTTCCTTTAGCCACATGTGTGGATAGTTGTGAACTCGTAGTTGGACTTCGTCCTTTTGTAGATTTCTTCATCTATATATTTTTTTATTGTCTTAGTTACATGCACTATGGTGTAATTTTAGCTTTATATCTATATACAGGATGATCTAGAGGCGTGAATGTGACCGAATGGTTGCATTGCCGGCCGAGTCATGTTCCAAGGTATTATATTTTGGAACCGGGCCGTGACAACATGCACATGAACTTCATGCAAACCCAGGAAAGCAATATACTTCCAGGTTTGATACAATTTATATAATGTTAATTATAAAATATGTCATGGCAAGAAAAAACTGAAAACATGCACTTGAACATCTAATGAACCCAAGACAACTGAGCAAGGTACTTCCAGGGTTACTGCAACTTATAAAATGTCTCTTAATAGTATAAAAAATATTTGCAGCAACAAAAACCTGTGGGGTTCCAGCATATAGTGCTGCAGCAGTAGATCCGCTGTTGACAATCCAAAAAAGAAATAAATCTAAGTTGATCAACCAAATGTTTCTGATAAAGGCAATGATATATCCAGCATTGTTCTAACAAGTTGCTCACCTGCCCCCATGATGAATTACAACTGCACATCTTGGAAAGAGCCAGCTGTATGGAAGAGTACTGAACAAAATAATAATAATAATAATTTACTTATAACTAGATAAATGGGTAAATTTAAGTGCAAGAGCTCAGAAAGAACAATCTAATCATGTTAGAACATACCCAGAAAAACAGAATAGACAATCATTGAAGAGAAGATGCTTGCAATACATCGAATGTTGTAGTTTAGTTGAATTTGATGATCCATCAGCAGTCATCTGAATGGCAGCATCCAGAGGCTCGTATCCAGCTGAGAAAAGAATAAATCTGTAACCTGTGCTATCTATAACAGCTTTGAGCACCAGAAGAAATGCCCGAGGATTTTGGAAAAAGCCCATACTGCAAAAAGAGAATAGAGTGCTCAAGGCGAAGGTCCAGCATAAAAAAGTACTGATGCAAGTTGCTGGTTTAAAATGACAGAACAGGTTTCCACGAAGATGTAATGTCCAGCACTGCTTCTGAAAAGAATTTTTCATCAAAATAACAAGAAGTTTTAACTATAATCCAACACTATGTGCAGGTCGTATTTCCTCTGTATGTGCATTAGCCTTTTTTTAATTGTGGATGATCGCAAAAGATTTACACTAAAAAGAAACACTACAGATCAATATTACCTGCATTTTCAGTGTGCAAAGCTAATTCTAGCCAAGAAAAACATAAATACCCACAGATATGTGACATTATTCTTAAGTAACTAATATTTAGTCAACAGAAACTAGTAAGTTATAACTGTGAAACAAGATTCAACCAAAAGAATCCAGAAGGGGGAAAACTCCATCAAACAATGTACTTGTCTTCATCCTAGTCTTGTAGAAAAGGAACTGATCCAGTTGCGTTCCCAAATTTAAAACTCCCACCACTATGAATTGTGAAAATCAATTGGAAATACCTGCCTTTATGACTTAGCATCATTTCCCTAGCAAATGAAAAAACTTGGCATCATCATGATATCATTATCCTGGACCAACCGATGAGTCACTAATTTAGTCGTGAATTAGGTGATACTAACCACTTTACTTATCTTCAATGATTTCTTATTTTCCATCAGCAAGAAACTTGTCCCTTCAACTTTCACCTATAACTTGTGGATTGGCAGACGGGTTTACCAATATGGACATGTGATATCAACTAAAGCAGTTCACAAACCCCAACAGATTCCAAGGCCTCATCGCCATACATGTGTTTGTTTGTGAATATACATATATTACTTCCATGTAGTTGAATTTGCCTCTGTGTGGGGAATATCTTAGACTGACATAATGAACATAGCAACTATATGCTACTAAATAAATTATAGTATATTATTCATTTACGCATATTCTTTAATCAAATAAAGGTGTACATGTTTGTTACAGCCAAACAAAAGTGAACAATGAATGGAGACACTTATCCTATCTAAAACACATGGATTAAAAAAAAAAAGATAAAAAACCCTGTTTCTCTATGTTGGTATCCAAGTTTTATGTCATTTACTGATTACCAGCAAGTAATTGGAGCATGCTGAAAGGTGAAGGACTTACCTTCCAATAGAACTTAACCCAATGAATATGGGCAAGCCTGGACTAGAAGTCTTCCCAAGGAAATGATATAGATCGGAATGATCAGCACATAGTAGACTCTTTTTGATTGGATATTCATGAGAATGTGAAGGTACTATTTCCCTGCATCTATCACATGAAAATTGCCACTCCACAGGCAGAAACCAGAAGCCACATACATGAACATTTGATGGCCAGTAACCTGTCAAGGAGTCGTTACACAGCTCAATCTAATATGGCGATCTCTTAGGAAAATGCTCATATATTACGTACAGCACTATAATGAGGTTGTAATGAAAAGGGCAGAACACTAATATGCAAGAGCAAAAACAAAAAACAGTAAGAGTATCAATCCTAATGATGAAGGCTCGCATTCTGAACTTTCCCTCCCCAACAGCTACTATACTCTAGACATCAGAGAATTATAAAATTAACTGTTTCTCTTGCCCATGAAGTACACAAATGTCCTTCTATGTATTTGATTCCGCAACATTATTCACTAGCCTAAGCAGATTGAACTGACCCCACTATATCTAAAAGGTAATATTTTACTAATGTTTAAAATATGTTTCTCAGAAATTTAGAACTCACACAAATTTTTAGCAAGCTTTCCTACACTTTGGAGTACCTCCTTCATTAATTGGATTAGTGACTCAATGAATCAGCTATATGAAGCTACTCTATTAATGAATTTGTGATTCAATAAGTTGGTTATACATAGTTATTAACATTCAAAGCATAGTACAATATTAATTCCATGTAAAGCGAAAATTGCTCGATAACTGCTAAAATAGCTCTTATTTAATTGACATTTATCAATCTGTTATTAACTAACTTCATTCATGGAAAACAGGCTTCTGACAGTAATGGATTAACAAATTCAAAGATAGCTTGTGATCATTCTTAATAATAAACTCTATTCAAAGTAGAAGACAAGAGGGTATACCTGGGCATTCAACAATCTTCTTGCTGAAGCCATACCTGTATGCAGAAGATAGATAAATATGTCTTTCATACTTGTAAGAGAAGATAGTAAGGTATGAACTGAATGAGGAAAGAACCATATCCTTAGAAAGCAATACACATTGAATCTCTGCAGGTGCCATTGGCATGATCAGACAATGTAAAGATAAACTTAGTAAAAACAAAAGCTCTACATTACTTTGCAGGTGCCATTGGCATGATCAGACAATGTAAAGATAAACTTAGTAAAAACAAAAGCTCTACATTACTTTGATAACCAGGTCCTTAAATCAAAAGAGACTAAAGATAAACTTAGTAAAAACAAAAGCTCTACATTACTTTGATAACCAGGTCCTTAAATCAAAAGAGACGTTACCTTTTCCAAGACAATACCCAGTACAGCCTAACCTTTCAGCTTGTAAAAATGTATGGTCAATAATGATAACCAGTACGAGTTCTAGCTGCAATTGTCAAAGAATTTCATAATTGCTCCATAGGTAATTTCATACCAGTTGGAATGAACGAAAACATCTATCCTTTAGATGAAAGTAGATTACCAGGCAAACACATGAAGTATTAATTTAAAAGGCATAGGCCAGAAGCTCCCTCAATAAATTTATTGGATTCAGTATTTCCAATCAAGATAAAAGATCACTTTATAATGGATTACAAGTCCAACATCTATGATCAAGAAGCTAGTGAAGACAGCACAATTACTAGTTACATATGCAAAGATTCTACAACTATCAACTACTTGAGAAAGATGAATAGATATTCCAGCAGACGATGAAGGGAGTGTAAATAAGCATCAAAACATAGATTATTTCCCTACCAATTTCCAGATAAAGCTCTTAAATTACAAATTCTTGGCAAGCTGGAATACGTTTCATGGAAGTAGCTAATTTAAATGATATAACTTCTAAGTAGGAAATCATACACAATATTGTTCAGTGGCCGTGATGAGGGTAAATTTTCATAATTGGAAGAGATCAATGGTTTAAACAAGCTGGATAACTATTGGATAACTATGGTCATTAAAACAAAAAAGATTACCAACACATCTTTCCTATAACTGTAGTCTTATGAACAACATCCTTAATGATAGAGTATCTGAACCTTACAATAACAAGGGTGACTGCGCCCGCATGTGCCACATGGGAAGATTTGTTACAGGATCCTGCACCCATTAAGCTTGAGTTTCAAAATCAACAAGTAACAAATATACTTCGAATAACAGTGGAGGTGTTTGAAAATACTTATTTGGTGAAATCATATCAGTTGACACTTGACAATTACGGACCATGAATGGTAAAGGGCTTAGATTCAAACAATCACTTCTCCATGAGCCCCAATCTTCTGAAAAGAGTGGCCACATCCAATGTTGAACATCTTTCCAGCTGACCTGTTAACATACAGAAGCTGATGTTTCTTTCATCTAGAGATAAATAAAAAATAAAAATAAAACCTGCATAAAGACAGAGCATCTTAACCAAATACTAAGAGTAATCACTATTAGAGGTTTGTAATAATGACAGAATACTGAGAACGGAAGTAACACAAAAATTGATAACTAATCATAGAGCTCCTTATAGTGTGAATCTGGCTGCCAGATTTGTGTCTGGAAGTAGAAATTGATTAATTTAATACTAACCAAACTGTAGTATTGTAAAAGAAAATGCACGGAAATAAGTTGAAGAACTTCTAAGTTATATTGTGGAGGAGTTCTTCAAAGTCTTGTCTTGAGGTTCTATATGAACATGTATAATAGTTGGTGAAGGAGAAATCCACATCAACAATATCTAGAAAAATCAACTTGGTGCTAAAGGTAACATGGCTAGTTGAAGACCGTTAAACTCAATATGTGTCAGCCAGTAAGACAAACACCTCCAAAGGCAGCATCAAGTGGCTACTTTACAAAGTGGCCCATGGCCCATACTTTTGTGTTTTAGAAGCTTCTAATCTTCTCGACAACTTCATGACAGGATAAAAATCCAGCAGCAGACACATCTGCATGTACAAATTGCAGATCAATGACTCAAATCGGCATATGTCCAAAGCCTAACCAACTCCAAAGTCCAATAGAAGTACTTAAAATATGTGCGTATCTTTATGGGACGTATCGTCAGCTGAACCCAACATTTTGGTATAAAGGCTTTGTTATTGTAGTTATTGCTTTTGCATACAATTCCCATAATTGCATGCCACTATGCAGGGTGTAGTAATTACAAACCCAAGTCATATAACATAACATGTTGTAACATGAAAAGGATAGAATATACTCCATTACATAGTTGTCCATAGCAAACAACTAACCTTTTCAGCAGGCGCTTCTTGAAAGTACTTGAACAAAAGTGGAAATTCATGTCTGAATTGGCGTTCAAATGATGAAGGTGCGCTACGCAGGCCACAGAAAATGTTAAAACTCTGTAAGAAATATTTAGAGACTCCTAAGATATTGACAATAAAAGGTAACTGACAGAAAAATATAATCAGGGATATATATACAATAACATTGACACACCAAGGAGAATGTTCAAATACACACATACACATGAGTTAAATGAGTTCACAATATAAGGTGAAGAGTCTACACACATACACATGAGTTAAATGAGTTCACAATATAAGGTGAAGAGTCTGCACACCTATAAGGAAGAACATAAGGAGCAGCAACAACACATTGAACTTGATATAGTTCCGCAAGGCTCCATCCTTCCTGAACAATTATCCAACAAAAACTAACTGAGAGAATTAACTTAACGATACAAAACTAAGATAAACCAAGCATCAAAACATTTACTTAATAAAATGTAAAGAATAATGTCAAAGAAAGGAATACAAGATTTCCACCAGTGAATACCAGGGCAAAGAAATTGATCACAATAAAATCACCCGGCATACTTTCACTATCTGCGGATAAACACTCTTGCCTATGTTGTGTCCGAATCATCTTCTTGCGCGTAGAAAAAGACTGCAGCTCAGAATCTAATACAGAAAATGCAACATATTCTCAAATTCAAATCACTAACAATTTGCAACAAACTTTAAGGTAAGATTCTTCACAACAAGTCAACCTGCGCAAGTGCTGGCTTGATGGACCGAAAGCACCGGAGGAGTTGATATCGGCATAAAGGCGACACCTTTGCCACCCAAATGTACATCTAAACTCTGCAACCCCAGCATAAAATTACAAACATCGAAAACTGAATCGTCAAACATAATGCAGAGAGTAATCAAATTGCAACCTGATGGGCCGAGTGAGTAACGAACACAACGTTATAATGCGGTTGATCAAGCGCAAAAGCCGCAGCAATAGCCTGAAGGAGTAATAGGACAATAGATTCGATTTAGCTTTGCATCGTACCTAATTTTTTAGAAATTGAACTGCAAGTAGGAGAATTTCTTCGTGTTAGAGAAATTAGAGTTCGAATAAACCCTAATTCTAATGCTGATGTAAGTGAGTACTGTGAGTGGATCAAAAGAGAGGGAATATGAGTTACTGCAATCGGAAAGACGTCGCCTTTGGTGCCGAACGCCATGAAAATAGCTCGAGGCCTCAAGCTCTCCATCATCAATGTGCGTGGGCGTGTGCAGGGGAGGATCTACATACAGTCCGGGGGGTCACGCCCCCCCCCCCCCAAATTTGGGGAAAAAAAAAATATGGTGCTCTATTCCTCAAGCCCCCTCAAAATTTTGGGGAGAAAATTAGGGTGTTCTATTTCTAATTTGAGGAAAAAAATTAGTTTGTGAATATTAATTATTTGAGGGTTTTTATGTATATATTAATAGTAAATATATTACCATGAGTAGCAACAAGATTAATAAAGAGGATTTCATTGAAATTGGAAATTTATGGAGAGGTATTTAGCGAATGGGCAGAATGAGCTCGTGGTCATCAAGACATCACCATTGGGCATCATTATCGATTAGACTTTCTTTATGTCGCGATCGATTCACAAATGCAAGAAATTAATGTGCGTTTTAGTGAAGATGCGACAGAATTGCTCATGCTTAGTTCTGCCTTAAATCCTCAAAATGCATCTGAGGCTTTGAGAATACAAGATATATGCAAATTGGTTGGCAAGTTTTATGCACAAGATTTTACAAGTGAAGAAAAAGAGAGTTTGAAGATGCAACTGAAACATTATGAGCATAATGTAGTCAAAGGGTCAGACTTCAAAACTCTTTAACCATTTCTGAGTTGGGTCAATGGTTGGTAAAGACTAATAAATCTGCTACATACGACCTCATTTCTAGAGTGATCGTACTTGTGCTTACTCTTCCAGTTTCTACCGCTACTGCAGAACGATCATTCTCAGCTATGAATATCGTCAAGACTAGACTTCGAAGCAAAATGGAGGATGCTTTCCTCTCCGACGCATTAATGGTGTTTATTGAAAGAGAAATTGCTAAAAGTCTGAGCATTGATGCTATCATTGAAGGCTTTGAAAATTTTAAGGAACGTCGAATTCCTTTTAGTTAGAGAAATTTTAGTTATAAAAAAATAGATGATGCTTATTTGACAATTTTTATATAATATTTATCTTCCTCTTTTGAAATATTTTGGAGATATTGATGTTGGCCATTCTACTCGTTTTATGTGGGTTGTGGTATATCTCTTGTGAATAAAATTACATTAAGAAAATTTTTTATCTATCTTTTGTACGCGGCCCCCCAGGAACTAAAATCCTGGATCCGCCCCTGGGCGTGTGGGTGATAGGAGTCGCTGGCTTTAAGTAAAGGATGATGGATTTGGTAGGAGGAGTGTTTTGAGGATACATACGCAAAATGTCCAAGGAAAAAATAAAAAGGTTATTTTCACTCTGGTACCTCAAAGTTTACACAATTATAAACTTTGATACCCTAAGTTTACGCTTTCTCGTACTTTAATATCCTAAAAAAACTTCCTGGCACTTTAATGCTCTTACTTTTATGCTTTTCTAAACTTTAACACCCTAAAAATTCCCGACACTATGATATCCCGACATTTATAACTTTTTTGAAAGTTGACATGCCAAAAAAAAAATTTGACACTTTGATATCCACAAAGTGCTTTAGGGTAAAATGTGTAAAACTAAGGGTAAAGTTAAAAAATATGTATACTTTGGTTATCTAAGTGGACCAAATTTTATTTGGAGTATCAGTCCGAAATTTTATTTGGAGTATCAAAATATGTAAACTTTAAGATAACAAAGTGTAAATAACCTAATAAAATCCCCTCTTAGGGCTCGAAATAAGTTATCACCACAATAGGAGTCTAAAGAGCATTTTTTCCCCAAAAAAGGGCAACGACAAGATAATATAATAAATAAAAAAAACAAAACTACATCATGGGTACCGACAACCCACACAAAGTCACAAGCGCATCCGCAGCAGCAGTAGCGTCATGTTTCTTCTTCAGAAGGTAAGCTCCTTTTGATATTATTCTTCCCAACCAAATTCGTTTATGTTTGACCAAAATCCTCTAAAACCCATGAATTGATTTCATTTTTTTTCCCCTTGGGGGTTTTAAATCTTGCAGGCATGGAGGACTGCAGCTTTTGGAGTCTATGGCTTCACCCAATTCACAAAATCTGGCTTCCAGTAAAATTTCCCTCCTTTATCTCAACTTTTATAATCAAAGGTCAAGCTATTTGTTCTCAGTCAATTGCTATGGATAAGCTATTGCTCTGTTAACCAAATGCAGTGAAAATCTATGGAAAGATGTTAATTGTTGGGTTTATATAGCAAATTTATAACACCTACTCCAGGCCCCCTTTTTTTTGGGTTGGGTTGAGATTATGCTTCTGAATGAGGCTATACCCTTTTTCTTGTTGTGAGTAAGAGTTTATGACTCCAAAGCATAACATCAAATGAGTGCATTGACTATTTAGTTATTGTTGAAGAAATTTCGGCATAATAAAAGCAAAAGGTTGGACATACCTAAATCTAGTTTTCATTAGATATTGTTTTTTATGACCAAAAATTTTTGGGTATAAGAGGGTCTTGGATGTAAGAGTGGCTTAAATTAAAGGATTACACTACAACAAAATACATCATTGCTGACAAAAGAAAAACGTCGGCAAATATTTAAAAAACGTCGGGAAAAATCTTTCCCGACGCAAAATACAACGTCGCTAACGCGTCACCAAAAATGCGTCAAGGAAAATATTTGGCAACGCAAACTCACTGCGTCGGCAAAAGTCAACACTTTTGGCGACGCTTGATGCGTCGGGAAAAGTACAACTTTTAGCGACGCATAACATTTTACGTCGGCAAAAGTATGCAGTATTTTTTCCATATGTGAGGCAGCGTCGGGAAATCTTGCACTTTTGGCGACGTACTTAACGTCGGCAAAGGGCAATGCTTCGGCAAAAATATACTTTTGCCGACGCAGAATGTAACGTCGCTAAAAAGCTTATCTTTGGCGACGCATGATTGCGTCGGCAAAAGTGTAGCTTTTAGCAACGCAGAATAGAGCGTCGCTAAAAACTACATCTTTGGCGACGCAAGATTGCGTCGCTAAAAGATATTACTTTTGGTGACAAAATATCTCGTCGGCAAAAGTGTTACATTTAGCGACGAAATATAGCGTCGACAAAAGTGTTACTTTTACTGACGCTTGTTGACACTAATTTGCATCGCCAAAAATAATATATTTTCTGTCAAATACAAGCCTACACTGAATCTGAACATCCACAAAAAATTTGCTCCCATTCAAATCAACATAAAAGTCTATTTTTCCATTTCCCCTTGAGCGCTAAAAGCGTTAATTTACAAACTTCCTCTTACATACCCAAGTACATAAAGTCTCTCAAAAACAAATTACATCAAGAAAACTAGAAACAACAATCTCAAATTTGTATCATTAATTACAAATAGTTAATGGCAGAAGGTACCAATGACATCAAAGATTGACAAGCCTCCCGAATCCTTGAGCAATAGGACTTGCAGAGTGCTTGTCCATGAAGAGGAGGAATATCTGCATTAAGTGCCTGAAGAGACTTTGTTTTCTGCATACGAACAACAACACCTGCATTAAGAGCATCGTTTTGGATAGGACATGCTGCAAATCATCATTTAATGCAAGTCCATGGCAAAGAAGATCTTCATCCCTATAAGAATTTCAAAAGAGAGTAAAAAGTTTAAGTTATGCAAATGAGGCAGGAGTAGATCATGCATGAAATAAATTGATACATCAAATCCCATCAAAGTAGAATCAACTATGATTGTTTGGATGAGATAATTAATTAGTCCAATTGAAAACTCAAAAATTTCATGACTCAATCTTCCTTCTCATGAGACTGATCTCTTTGGCTTCAGACAATACACATCTTAAATCCTTGTAATTGACTAGATTTCCGTTATTCATCCTAAATTTTTAGACTGTAATCAGTGGATTTGAGATAGAGAGATGCATGACTCTATTTAATAGCAAACCTTACCTTGCAGTGTTCTGAACCTTAGCGTGCAGTGTTCTGAAACTCTTGAATATTATACTCTTCCGAGTCCTCCAATGCTCCGTACATGCTGTAAATTTAATTTACAGCCCTACCCGACAATTATGGTTGATAAAGGGGTTAATTGGAAAATAAGTTAAGGATCAGGTGTTGAGGAATCCCAACACAGCATCCAGTCAGAAAATTAAATAAAAACTTCACTTTTGAACTGTCAAGGTTTCTTCAAACTGACACCAATGATCCCATCCCCACATGACCCCCCTCATTAAACAACCTGTCAAGGTTTCCAGTAATGATTTTCTTTGTAATTTATCTCTCAACTTTCATTATCAATATAGTGTCTGATATGTGAATAATTCCACTAAATAGCATTTTCGTCGCTCGCTGGAAACAATATTTTCGTATATGTTGAACACATGGTAAATATAAGGCTGGAGAAATAAGCTTCACTGAAATTTGAAGTTTTGCGTATCAGAACGTCGATTATTTGATTTATCTCATGGAAGCATTTATTGATCACCATGTTCATGGAAAAAGAATTATTGTTGTGTACTGATTCGTATCAATGGAAGTTTGAAGCTGGTAGGGTATTATTTGAAGGCCAAATGCATTTGCTAAGAAAATTAAAGGTTCGGTGTGTCTCTTATCTATCTACATTGTTGTCACAGTCCAAATCAAGTCATATGCATTCAATATGTTGGTGTCATAGCGTTCTAGCATTTTTAGTGCCTGAGTGTCCTATGACCATCGCAAGAAGTGAGGATCAACAGAACGCGCTTCTCTCAAATTTATGCAAACACAATTCATCTCAATTCTCTCTATTTTTTTATCCCGTTAGCTTTACTAAGTTTAGTTTCATCAGTTTCTTAGTGACATTGAAATGTGTTTTCAAATTTAAGCAAACACAATTCATCCCATTTCAAAGCAGAAAATATTTAGTGGAATTATTCATAAAACTTGATTGGTTACAAACAAATACATATCATTCCACATGGTTTACTCATAACAAATAGTCGACGTTTAAATTTTAAATTCCTAGCATTAAATTTAATAGTGTATGTCTAGAAACCATAAATAAGTCTAATAATGAAAAATTAAATGCAAGTTTGACCTCATCTCGATGAGAAATCTCTACTACCACCGCTCACTGCAGGCTGGCTACGTGCAAATAGCCGATGCACTAAAGCCTCAAGATCAGCAGTCTTCTGGGCTTGTGCGTTCATCTGCTCAGAATGTATATTTCTTAACTCAAACTATAGATATAAAATTCATTCCTAGACTTGGATATCAAAGTCGTTAATGGGTTTGTCTACAGGTCAAGAATAAGCATACAATGAACAGACAAATGCAGTCAAGCATGGGAGGAGAGAAGGCTAAGAACCAGAAAAAAGTCAGAGAAGCAGGAAGAAAGTTCTAGTCTCCCGTAGACTTCCGGAATCAATCTAAGCTAAAATAAATATAGGAGGTGCAATTTAAAGAGTTTGATCGACTTCTGTTTCAGAGCAACAGCGATGTTTCAGCAAACATATGAGCTTGTTAGCATTACTGATATTTGCAAAATCATTAATTTTGGGAAGATATAAATACCAAAAGACCAAACTTCCTGTCAGTAAAACTTATTATCTTCATAATTCATTAGCTCAATATGAAACCAACCACACGCATAAAAATAGGGATACTACAAACTTCCTACTACCTATTTTTGTAAGCAAATCCATTTTCACACTCCTGAACTCAATGTACTGAAAAAGCTAGGGTTTCGGCAGGGAGTACCGTGCGGTACGGAAGGATCTGAACCAAATAGAGGAGGAGGAAGGGGGTGGAGGGAGGTAGTAAATGACCAAACTACACACCTTCAGCGCAAACGTAAGGTTCGGATCACCCCCTACAGAGGGCTGTTCTAATAGGATTATTACTCCTCAAAAGGAATATGTATTCAAAAGCTTTATTGGACTATGAGGGTGCAGGTTCCCCGACCCAGAAAGCAAAGTCCTGAGCAAGAACCGCATAGTTATGGATATGTAGTGAAGAAACCTACAGCGCTGAAATTTCGAGATTTCAATGAAATTCAACCAAAATCTTTCTGAAGATGCAAATGAAAACTACTAGGCGAAGTCTTAGGTTAGAGTTATATGGTTAAAAGCAAACGCATGTTAGCTAGAAATTAGAATAACGATAGTCAACCAATCCAGCAAATTAACTATATAAAAGGAGTACATAATTATAGTTGAGCTAGCTACTGGCAAAACTATTAGCTCACGTCCAAAGAACTTATTCCTAATAATTGATTACGTCTTGAAAATCAGAAAGATTCTTAACAAGTTCAGAATATCCTCATTAACAAAAAAAAAGATAAATAAATAAATAATGAGAAAAGGATTAGTAATCAACCCGACATTGCTCCATTAATCAACAAATGCACTACCCTTAATCAGAAGAAGACAACTAAAGAAACTTGACTAGCTAAAAAACAATATTTCAAGAATCGTTCCACATGATCCCCTTAATCATAATAATTTAATCTACAATTATGCTAAGTTAATGATACTTAGGTCCTTTGTATGTTAGGAAGCCATGCCCTAAGGAAGGTCAGTCACTTTTTTCATGAACATATGGGAAATTAATGCATACATTGGTGTTCTAAATATATAAAAGGTGAATTTACTTTTTATTATTTTAGCAAGAAGGTTTCACTCTATACTTTTGTATCTGTTTAAGCTGATTGAGTTTTGATGGAAGATCTAGATACATGGTATCAACCATCTCTATAATCCAAATGAATTGGTTGATATTTTGTCCCTCGAATTTCTCCATCTTACTTGATCGATTTGCTTTTTGGTTAATGAAATGAACAAGGCAACTTGCTCTGTTTTTCTTTTCAAAAAATAATAGGCTCCTGCTAATGGAGAAAAAAATATCATAGGGGATCATGTGTAGAATATTATACACATGATATATTTTAAGTTTTCGTCAGAACGATTTGCCAATCCAGAATTGATCCTGAGCCAGTTTTGTTCCCAAAGAACATGTTTATCTCAAGTTGCCAAACAGGCACCTAGTTAAGAATCTGGATAACGAGCGGAATTGTTGAAGAGGATGTAGTTTAACGGACAATAAATTTCTGTTCCTAACTCCGTGTCATTGGATTCCATCTGAGCTTTCTATTAATCATCGAACTCCTGCAATTGAGCATGCCCCTCAATGTATCAATTATCGAAAGCAATCGATTTCAACTTTTGCAGACTATGATTACAAGCGTCAAGTTACCACCCAGAAAACCACCGTATAAAAACAACTGTTTACATCGCTCGGTAAATTATTACAAACAGACTATCACATTAACAAAAATCGGGAAGATGGAAATATTGCCCATGATGTGATAATATATCTCATCTTACCTAGAGAGGAAACATTATGTTCCAGAGGCATCACCGTGCACAGGGGACCATGACAGTCCCATGGAAAATGAGTATGGCTAACTTCTAAGTACATATATCTGTATGATATATTTGAAGAGTTGACATTTTCTCTCAAAACGCTCTCGCAATTTCTAAGGGATGAAAGCATGGTGATGCTCAATTGAAAGTCCCCCTATCTAAGAATATTTCCCATCCTATCTAAGCATGATTACCAAAGGGAGAAATTCAATCAAGATTCATGTATCTTGTCAGATTGAAAAGCAAAGGGGACGATTTCTAGGGTTACAACTGAAAGCAAATGAAAACTACTAGGCGAGATTCAGTACCTTCCAGGGCGATTTTGGCAGGAGGAGGAGGAGGAGGAGGCGGCGAGATCCGACGGAGGCGGAGATCTCCGATGATGGCGTCGGTGAGCTTCGACGATGGCGTCGGTGACCTTCGACGAAGCGGCGAACTTTCAGAGAATTTGGGGGCGATTTTGGCTCTTCGTCAAAATAAGAAAGGGGGGAATTATCCCTCCTTTTATTTGGGGGGCGGGGATTTGGGGGTGGGGTTTTGGCGACGACGATAAATAAAGTAGCGTCGCTAAAAATATAACTTTTAGCGACGCTAATTATAAACGTCGGGAAAAGAACACTTTTAGCGACGTTAGCCTAATACGTCGCGATAAATACATACTATTAGCGACGCTAATTCTAAAACGTCGCTAAAAAGCTATACTTTTACCGACGAAAATGAAAAAACGTCGGAAAATCCATAACTTTTACCGACGCTAAGTTAAAACGTCGCAAATAATATACACTTTTAGCGACGCTAATTATAAACGTCAGGAAAAATATATTTTTTGCCAACGCTAACTAAAAGCGTCGGGAAAAACATAATTTTTGGCGACGTATTTAACCATGCGTCGGGAATAAACGTCGGGAAAAGTACAATTTGTTGTAGTGTTAATCTCACATAACCCCCCTAAACTTTGGGGGGTGTTGCACATAACCCCTAAACTTTGCATTCCAATCTTTGTAACTTGCCATGTGGCAACATATCCCCTCCCCTAAATATTGGTTTTTTTTCTCTCAAGAAAATTTTAGTTATTTACAAATAACATGTGGTTGGTGAGAAAAGTTCAAAGTTTGGGGGGGTGTTTTGAGACACCTCAAACATTAGAGGGTTATGTGAGATAAACAAAGTTCAGGATGATTATGTGCAACACCCTCAAAGTTTAGGGAGCTTTTGTGAAATTAATCTTAAATTAAAACCAAGGTATGTCGTCGTACTCTTCTTTTATTCCACTTTCAGAAGTTGAAATTTGTGCTATTGCTCCTTGATTTCATGAAGTATAAAATTTTGAGATAGCTTTTCTAGCCATCAATGTTTTAATCTCTATGACATTTCATTCTCTCGTTCATAATTATGTCAAACCTTTTGTGAAGCTAAAGATCTGGTCAAAATCCCAAAGCATCAACTTCACTTAGATAGCTAGTTTTAAATCTAGTCAGATTTGATGCCTTATTCGTGTAAAATTGTTATTTCTAGCCAATCTCACTTTTTGAGAGGCTATATGATGATGAATTTTTTTGAATGTATCGATTATTTAGTTATTACAGCTCCTAGCAGGAGGGTAGCAGATATAATTAACCTTTTCAATAGAAAGAAGAAAGAAAAAAAATATGAAGTCTATCATAGGATTTAAACAATATTATTTTTTGAAAACAATATTTTTTTTGAAAAAAATATTTTTTTAACAAATATTTTTTAAAAAAAAGTATTTTCTTGAAAAAATTATTTTTAAAAATGTAATTTTTTTGGAAAAAACAAATTTAGAAATATTAATTTTTTGAAAACTTACTATTAATTAAAAAATTATTTTTCCCTTGAATTATATTATTTTTGTTAAAATATCATTTTCAAAAAGCTTCAATAACATTTTCCAAACAAATACTGTATTTAAAAAAATATGAAAAGATTGTATGTTTTAATAAAATTAATTTGAAAAATATATTTTTAGGAAAAAATTATCATTTTACAAAAATAATATTTTTTACAAAATATACTATTATATGAAAATTAATTTTTTAAATAAAAATATCATTTTGATAAATAGTATCTTTTGAAAACTTTAGAAAATTTTAAAAGTTAGCTTACTTAATAATAAAAACCACTATTTTTTAAAAAATAAATATTTTTAAAGTGTAAAAGGAATTAATAACTTTAACAATCTATTAATAGTTAAAAAACAAGCTGTATATATAAAGTTATAAGCAGAATCCTATGGGTACAACTGCAATTAGCAAAATTTAAATTTTGATCAAAACAATTGCTGCTGCAATTGCATGCAAGAAGAGTTGCAACATCTCGGTTAAGTGCAACTGACACTTGCATTGCAACTATATTTGCAAGCTCCCAAACGCCCCCCAAGTATTCCAAGCCATATATAGTATCTTTTTCAAGGTCTTGTATGCTGGTGTTGAGGATTTGGATGCGGGAAAGTGTAAAAGGCAGATAGACAATCTCTATCCTAAATACATGCGTGTGAATTTGAACTAATGGTGAAACAAGATAGAGCTCCAAGTTTATGAGATGTTACTTGTGTTATATTTCGTTATGTATTCTTGACCTGTGTTACATTTTCTTCTGTATTGATATATAGTTTTTGCTGAACAAAGCGATTTCAGTTTATTAATTCGTTATTTTAAGGCTTATTACACAAAAATCATAATTAAACATGAAGTGTTTCATAACAAAAAGTGAGATGCTAGTATGTGGTACTTTTATGTTTTAAATACATTCCCCAGTATCTTTATTCTTTTCTGATAATTGAGAATTATATCCCAGGGAGCACTCCAAAAGATTCAAACCTGAAGATATGCAAATTCAGATGCAAGGAAAAAATTGCATAGTAACTGGAGCCAATTCTGGAATCGGTTATGCAACTGCGGAGGGTCTTGCATCACGGTACTTTTTTCTTCTTGTTATTGATTTTGCATTACAAATTTGCTTTATTAATTATATTTAATGGAGAGGGTCTTCACTTGAGCTTTTGTATTCTCTTATTCCCAGTGGAGCCACTGTGCATATGGTTTGTCGTAGTAAAGAAAGGGGAGAGGCTGCTCTTTTGAAGTTACAGTCAACCACAAATAACCCAAATATCCATTTGGAGGTTTGTGTTTGAGTGTCGTAATCTTCTTTAAAAAATTACGCTTCTATTTTGTTTCTTTCAAAGTCTTCATAACTGTTGAGAGCAAACTCTCATAGGCTTAGATGGTAGAAGATATGTAACCTCCTCAGGTTTGTAGTATCGGGGAGAGAAATTAGCTTATGTGAGTTTTATTTTTATATTTTTTATGGCAGGTTTGTGACCTGTCTTCCATCACCGAAGTCAAGGCATTTGCATCCAAGTTTACTTCAGAGCATAAACCACTTCATGTCTTAGTAAGTTTTATTTTCTGTTGTTACATGTTATATTGTTGAGCAGTAACTGTGCATGATACGACATGACACAAGCTCAGGAAGGATACGACCGTAACTCCAGTGGAAAATTTCAGTTTGTTTCACTGTCAATTTGTTATTGGATTTTTTTATTATTATTTTTTTGTGAAAATTGTTATTGGAGAATTCGTACTGTCACCTCATGCTACACATAAAGTCTTATTGTTCCTGCAATTGTGGTTGACTTTTGCTTTTAATTTGTCTTGTTTCCAAACAGAAACCTGATATCTTCCCTATTTCCTCATTCACCTCGAAATATTCATTAGTCCGCATCCCATCTGAAATTGTTTACGTTGGAGAAAATACCACCTCCCATCACTTACTACTTATTTTTGACGGGTGGAGGCTGAACTGACTAATTTTTCCTCATCCCATCCTGTTGATGAGGGAAAATATACAGAGGAAGACACCAATGACCGGGACTTTCTGTCTCAATGTATACAATTTTAGGTAGGAATATAGAATTAGGGAAGATTTCCGGTGTTGATGTGGGAGAAACGCTTTTAGCTATTGGTCCGTTGCCTTGCAAGTTTCTTATTAGTTTTCTTAATGAAAATTTGACGGGTCACTGATATTGTGCATTCAGATTAACAATGCAGGCATACTTGAGCACAATCGAGTAACTACTGCAGAAGGGTGCGTCTCTTCCCATGACCATTCATCTCTTTTTCATAATCACGTTTCTTGCATATAGAGTTCATTACGAAGTTACTATCTCAAGAAAGAACATATTACTTCTGTCCTTTTGTGTTGCTCACTATTATTTCTTAGACATTAGAAAGCTAATGCTTTGTTTTGTCTTTATCATCTTTGACCAGATTAGAGTTGAACTTTGCTGTTAATGTAGCAGCAACTTATGCTATGACAGAACTGATGATGCCATTATTGGAGAAAGCAGCACCTGATGCTCGAGTGATTACAGTTTCTTCAGGTGGAATGTACACAACTCCTTTGACCAGAGATTTGCAGGTGAAACCTCTGTATAACTTTTTTTGCTTTAGTACTATTTAGCAGAACAGTCAAAGAACTGAATGGTTAATGATTATGAAGGATTATTATTGCTCCATAATTCTTTTTGCAACTTCAACGAAGGCATATTCTGTTATTCATAAGTACAGTTGAACTAAATTACATTATATCTCATGTAAGAATATGCCGTGCTAATGTGAAGTTCTTTTCCTGATTAGTTCTGCTTGTTTTTAACTTCATTACTTTTTCAAAAGCTGAACATTACCTCTTGGCTTCTAGATATACTCCATTCCTAATTTTATTCTCTTTCTGCAGTATAGTGAAAGAAACTTTGATGGAACCGTACAATATGCTCGGAACAAGAGAATTCAGGTGGTAAATATCGTGTACATTATTTGCTTTCTGGGTGTATAATACCTTCGCTTCCCAAAGTTTCCCAGTTGTAATCTTTTAAAAGGAATGAATGCTTATCCTTGAGCACACACTCTTTGTGGTACTATATGAACCGTTGAAAGCTCATTCATAATAATTGCAATGCACAATTTGACATATCATAGAACGCTATTACTTTTGTATTTTAATCACAAGAGCGGTAGGAAACTTGGATTTGTGAATATTGATAGATAGAATACATCATGGGAACTTCTATCCCATACCCATGTCAAATTTCTCATGCGCGTGCATTTTGACATTTGCTGTGGAATATTTAGTTTAAGACATGTTCTCTGCACTTTTGACTCATTTCTATATTTCTTGTGTACTTCTTTTTCACATTAAATATTTTTGACACATTCCTATACTTTTAGTATAGGAGCTTGATTGCATATTTGTAAAGCTTTTATTTTTATTTTTATTTTTTATATGCAAACCTGAACTAAATGCAGGTGGATCTTTCTTCTATTTTGATTATCACTTGTGTCTATCTTGCTGTTTGCTAACCTATAGAGATCTCTTTTTGCCTACCTGTTTCAGGTGGCATTAACTGAGAAATGGGCAGAAACTTATGGTGATAAAGGGGTCGGTTTTTACTCAATGCATCCCGGATGGGCCGAAACCCCCGGTGTAGCCAAAAGCTTGCCTAGTCTATCTGAGAAGTAAATTCACTCCTATCTAATTCATTCCTTTTGATTTCGGCAGTTTTTTTCTGAGGGAAGATTGGCCTAGATACAATATATGCTATGTTGTTATAGTTTGATACTGAGAGGTATACTAGAAAATGGCATTGTCACATATTCCTACCAAAATGTGTGAGCCAGAATCTGCAAGTTCGGCTGAATTGTAGATGAATAATGTTGTAACACTGATTTGTGATTAAAATGAGGGTAAATTTCACAAACTCTTTAAGTTTTGCCGTTTTAGAGATAACCCCTAACTATTTTAATACCACAAAACTCCCTTAGCTTCGGTCTTTGAGAATTTTTGCCCATAACCTCCTAAATTTATTCTATTCCGCTAAATCCATGGAAGAATGTTCACTTTATCCTCCTAACCTAGTACTGTCAAATCTAACATGTCCTGTGCCAAGCACGTGATGGACAAAAGGTGAAAACACTAAAAAATCAGTAGAAATAAATAAAAGAATATAAAGGGGATTTTCGAGGGTCAAGGGGTATTTTCTTTTTCTTTTCTTTTTCTCGTCACGTGATTGTCACATAGACTTGTTGTGTTACCTTAAGGGCTTACAGTGAACGATTATTAAGGAGTTCAGTGGAATCGGAGTAAATTTTCCCTTAAAAATACGATGATTTCATTCTTGCTGAACTTTTTATTTGGACATTACTCAATGCTTTTGCGAATAATGTCAGGTTATCGGGAAAGCTAAGAACAAGCGAGGAAGGGGCAGATACAATTGTATGGTTGGCATTGCAACCGAAAGAGAAATTGGTATCAGGTGCGTTCTATTTTGATCGTGAGCAGGCACCGAAACATCTGGCGTTTGCTGGGACTGCAAGCTCTCACAGCCTCATTGGTGAGGTTGCCGATAGGCTGCGGTCTTTGTGCCGCCTGTCTTTTTGAGTTGTAGCTAGTATATACGAGAATTGGGTGATTACATGCAATAATATGCTGGTTGAAAAGAAAATTACATGTAATTTGATTGAGTGTGTAATATGAAGTATGAAATTTCATTCTAAAGAATGCATTGTAAAGAACGGGAGCTAGGATACATTTCAGTATATACAGAATTACAGTAAAGCAGCAAAATAGTTAGTTTCGTGTTTTTTTGGGTCTGTCACATATTAATTCTAAATATGGCTGCCTGAATTCAATCTAAAAAGAGAGAGCAGTCTTGCAAATCACAGAAAATTCATCTCTAGTATTAAAATATGTGAGGGTTTTGTGGAACCCAAAACAGGGGGTTGAGATTAAAATGGACATCAAATTTGGGAGAGTTGGTAAAATTTATTCAAAAATTAAAAGTAAACCCTTGCACCAGCCGGGAATCGAACCCGGGTCTGTACCGTGGCAGGGTACTATTCTATCACTAGACCACTGGTGCTTGACATGTTCAAACTTAAATAAACTTAAAAAAAGAACTCAAATATTGAAACGGCACAGCAGCATATTCTTCAAAGATATGGAAGACTAACGTGACAGAGAATTGTGCAGAGCATATAATATTTTCTTCCATCATTATTAACTTTAGCGGTTAGAATCCCCCAAGTGCTATAAATTGATTCATAGAGCATAGAGAGTAGGGGTAGTAAGCCATATCTGTATCTAGAGAAATACTATGGCTACTAGAATAAATTTACAGATATAGTTCTGTAGTGAAATATCTGGATTTGTATCTGAAATATTTGAATATATGTTCATCTTGGAGTTACAATTGCTTCAGCTTTAGATTAATGAATTTGAAACTAAATCTGATGATCAAGTGTTCCAATCATAGCTTTTCAGCTATAACAAACATATTAATGAACTCTCTAGTACTATATAAACTATTATTTTTTACTATCCGTTTTGTATCTGCATGTATATTTGCATATACACCCACATGTATATCTGTATCTGTATCTGTATCTGATTTTTGCGGTGTTAAGTCAATAATTAGACTATGTTAATCATTCTCTTGGAGTCAACATCTGTCCCATATAATCATTAATTATCAAATCAGCTCACCTCAGTCAGGGGCGACTTAGGAAGCATGGGCATTCGACCCTTCCCGAGTTAGGACAGGTCGAGACAAGCTCTCACCTGACCTCATCACTCGAGTCAACCACCCTCATTCACTCAGAGCCGGGTTGATGACTTGTGAGGCCGACAAAAAAGGTGGTACTTGTCGTCCCCCTCGTAGAACCAGATCAAGAGGTCGTTCGTCCTCGAACTTCATGCCAACAACTATCCATCATCATCATTGCTAGGGCCACGAGTCTTCATGACTCATCACCCTCTATACCTCTTTAATCACCATCACATCAAATCAATAGTGACTCATTACATATACAATCGATACGTGTAAAGCTATCTGTTGATTTAGCTATTCGCTTAGACTCAACCAGAATTATGCTTCTACACCTCTTAGGTGGGTATATATATGGGCTCATCGTCCATTAATGAGAGGAGGGGGCCTTTAAGCCCCCTTGGGGACACAAGTACACCCTTTCTGGCTAACTAATTTCATCACCTGTATATTTCAGAACTTATTCAGTTCATTAGTTTCCTGCTCAAGCTCAACACTGTCTTGATCGTCGAAGGAACTACCAAAGAACCCAACCCTGGTCCTCTAACGTATTTATTTTGCTGCTCTTTTATCTTAAAATAGGGGACTAGTCACCTAAGTGGATGAGGTAACCCACATCGTCTGTTTCGAGCCCAAGCCTTATCGCAAACTCGGGTTATCTACTAATCTCGCTGCTGAGTCTTAGGACTTCAACACTAGCACCAACCGCCTCATTACTTTAGATGGACAATCCCCTATATTCGAGCATCGGAATAAGAAGTGGCCATCTCCACCTAAGCTCCATTGCAGTTAAGAAATTTTTTGCCAAAAGCATATGATGGAAAGTTGGTCACAAAGTATATATAGCTTCGGAGAACTCTTCAAGGTAATCAAATTAAAGATACTCTCTTAAACGAGATATTTTTGTGCTATGTATCTATATGTAGTTGTTGACATTCGATCTTCATCGCCTCGGCCTACTTCGACACAAGACCTTGGTGTCATTTCCATGAGTAAAACCAAGACGCACCATCGACACAAAGACCTTGATATCATTTTCATGAGAAAAATCCAGGACACACGTCTTAGAACTTGATATCATTTTGAAGAGTAAAACCCAAGATGCACAAAAGACCTTGGTACCTATTCAGGATGAACCTAAGGCACGTCATCAATTTGGTCAACTCTAACAAAAGACATTGGCACCCTTATCATAAGTCCAAGGCGCGTACTCCAAGACCTTGGTGTCAATGTGAGTAAACCCAAGGCACGAGGTCGAGTCGTCCCCAACTTAAGGCACAAAGTCAAGTCGCCTCGACCCAAAAGCAAATCGATACTAAATACAGATTACAAACTCTTAAACACAGGAATGCAATCTCAAAGGTACTTGGTTCAAATTGACAAAATTATCTTTTTATTCATGTGTGAAATTATTTACAATGCAAAAGTGCTACAAAAAAGAGAAGATACATTGAGGCTCCTAAGGGGTCGGACTTGGAAATGATGGAGGCTGATCGATGCTAGTGCCAGGAGCAGGTATCAGACACGCAGGAGTAGCGACAGTAGAAGTTAGCAGAGGAATCGACCGGACCTCAGTCTTGACCTCTCCATCTTCTCTCTCTTTGGGCTGACTCATCCAGCTATCATGAGTCGAGCCCTCGTCTGCCTCTTGGCTGACTCTCGATGCTCCTCGTTGCCACTCCCTCCATCAAGCGTGAGCCCCCCTCCCTACTTCTCTATCTCCTGAAGCTCACTAAGACAGTTGGCCACCCTTGGAGGATAGTGGAACTGGTCGGGATCGCTTGAAGTTCATCTAGGAGCTACGCCTCGAGATAGTCATAGCCAGCCTTTCAAGCTAGTGCCACCCTTACCTATCCGACAGTGTTGTGGCGATAGCCTTTAATAACCTTGAACTAATGGATCTCAGTAATGGAAGACTCACGCTGCCGCTCGGCCTCCAGCGCAACACGATTTCTCTCCTATCTAAGCTTCTTGTGAGCTATTTGCTCCTCCTTCAACTCAATCCGCGGGCTTTGGTTAACCAGTCAATCCGATCGAGCCTGCTCATAAGCATCATTCCTCTTTTGCTTCTCGCCTCCGACCTCCTTGGATAGATATTTTATCCTATCATTCCGTTCATGAAGCTCATGTTCAAGATGGCTGAGGTCTTCCTTGAGCTTGCTGATCTCGACCGACTTCTTGCTGTTTGAAGTCTTCAGTCCGTTGATCATCTTCTCCGGCATCTCCACCTCCCAACGCTATTTGCCCTTGCCCCTTACCCAGATGGCCAATTCATCCTCATTGGCAGCTAGCACTAGGAGAACCTACTCGAGGTCATCCTTCTGTCCCTCTAACTCCTCTTGGAGTCTAAGATAGGACGTTCAGACATACTCATAGTGGTTGAACAACTCCTATTCCACCAGAGCTTTGCAGATCATATAGCCCTTTAGGCACTAGTGAAGGCTGACATTCGGCATCTCCCTGAGGATGTCATCATCACGAGGGAGATAGAATTGCTTGACTACTCGGGTTTGGGAGAGTCGTAACTCCAAAATTGACTCCCTCGCCTGGGTTTGAATCTAAACTCCTACGATGTCTCCTTATCATAGCAGGGACTGACTCTGGAAGACCCCATCAGCAGCATCCTCAGCCTATCCCACTTCTCTACCTTGAGCTCATCGATGTGATAGGGATATGTCCATCCAAACCCTTGAGTATGGGTGCCCGCTCAGTGGCTTGAGCTCATCGATGTGATAGGGATATGTCCATCCAAACCCTTGAGTATGGGTGCCCGCTCAAGTGGCTGGTTTTTTCCCTACTGATGGGCTAACTCAACAGGCGTATCAAGGGCCACCTCGCCCTCTATTGTGGCCTCAACCTCGGCCATACGGATCTCAGACCCCTCTTCTCTAGCAGAGGAACTATCGTCAATGATGACAACTTTGGCTTCTTAGGCCGGGACAACAGCATCAGCATCCCCTACTACTTAAGGAGGCGGAATCTCCATCGAAGGCTATCTTGTGGCATCCCTTGAGTAGCAAAGGACGCACCCCCCCTAAATAGTGTAGACGGTAAAAATTACCTTGGAAGACGAAGTACGAGATTCGCCTGCATATTCAAGCCGCCCGCACAGCTTACAAATTAAACTCACCCAAGAGCTTGGCTCGCTAGCACGAGCCAAGGCCACGCGATCATCAGATTCGCCTACATCGGGTGACCGAAGACCCGTCTGCATGAAGATTGCCTCGCCTGCACGAGTCAAGAGCTGAATTCGCCTACAAACGGCAAGCTCGCCGAACTCGCCAGAGTACTTGGCAGTCGCTACATCACGTACAGGGATGAGCCTTCCCACTTCCTACGACGTGAATGGAAGGAGCACAGTACTCCGAGCCCATCAAGTAGCCGCTCACAGTATGAGGGGTTGGTCAACTCCATGCAGTCGCCGAGTTCGCCTGCATGAAGCTCGCCTCGCTTGCACGAGCCAAGAGCTGAATTCGCCTACAAACGACAAGCTGGCCAGACTCACTCGAGTATTAAGCAGCCGTAACATCACATACAGGGATGGGCCTTCCCACTTTCTACGACGTGAAGGGAAGGAGCACAGTACTCCGAGCCCATCAAGTAGTCGCTCACAGTACGAAGGGTTGGTCAACTCCATACCGGCGTCGAGTTCGCCTGCATAAAGCTCACCTCGCCCGCACGAGTCAAGAGCTAAATTCGCCTACAAACGGCAAGCTGGCCAGACTCACTCGAGTATTAAGCAGCCGCAACATCACATACAGGGATGGGCCTTCCCACTTCCTATGACGTGAAGGGAATGAACACAGTACTCCGAGCCCATCAAGTAGCCGCTTATAGTACAAGGGGTTGGTCAACTCCATGTAGTCGCCGAGTTCGCCTGCATGAAGCTCGCCTCGCCCGCACGAGTCAAGAGCTGAATTCACCTACAAACGACAAGCTGGCCAGACTCACTCGAGTATTAAGCAGCTGCAACATCACGTACAGGAATGGGCCTTCCCATTTCCCGTGACGTGAAGGGAAGGGGCACAGTACTCTGA